CTTTGTGAGATGGAGGAGGACTTTATGGATTGGTGTCGGACATATGGGCTAATGTTGGACTTACAGCACTTACAGACTTACATATGGGCTAATGTTGGACTTACAGCACTGCTTTGGGATGCTTTCTTTTTCTTTTTTTCAAACCAACAGCCTTACATTATTTATTGATAAACTTGATTAGGAAGCAAAAAAAAAACAAGGAGTAAACAAGATTATTTGCCAATAGAAGTTCAATTGATCAGATGGGGACCAAAGTCTTAATGCAACACAACATGATTTGAGCCTGGGAAAATGCATCCATGTGTGCCATCCCTCAGGGGGCTCCTTGCAGACCAGCTTGGTTCTTCTCCAGTGTCTTCTCTTGGAGTTGTACCTGATTTTATTACCAGTTTTCATTCGAATCCACTGGGGAATGGGCCGGTTCTGCTTCTGGGTCTTGGCCAGGAATCTCTTGATCCTGAAAGTCTTATGAGATGACATGGTGAGGTCGGAGCAACACCACACTCAGGATGGCAGAGAAACTGAGAGCAGGATGCTTTCTTAATGTACACTTACCCTTTATATAAATTATAAACATTTGTTTCTCTAATTTACCCAGATTACCACACCTATCCTGGATTTCATATACAAAACAACAATACAACAACAAACAGGTATAACAAATTAAAACTAATAAAAGAGAGCAGAACATATTAAAAACTAGAACAAATTTAAATGGATCATAGGGATATCCGATGATAGGGTGCTAAATTGTAACCAAACTGCATCTGCAACAATCGACTTTCCAACTATCTGCATAATATCAAGGTTATTCACATTCCCAGTCCATGGTCAGAGGGGATTCACTGGAGGCTTAAAGCACAGGTATTTCCCCCACCTCCTTTTTTTTTTTAAATGGAAACAGCTTTAAAATGGGTCAAAACCAAACTCATGGCCATCAAGTCAATGCTGACTCATAATGACCCCTGTGGGTTTCCAAAACTATAACTGTTTATGGGAGTCGAAAGCCCACTCTTTATCTTGTCGAGCTGCTGGTGGTAGCCAACTACCAACCATGAGGATTGTAGCACCATGCTTAACCACTATACCACCAGGGCTCTTAAAATGGGTCAAAAGGGAGATGAAGTGATAAGACATTCCGTGATAACCTATGTCTATCTTAATCAACGTTACAATGCTCTCTGTATGAGAACAGGGATACTCATCTCCCTCAACTAGTGATCAGAGGGGCTTCACCTGAGGCTCAGTGCAGACTTGAACCCAGCAGATGGAGTTTGGGCTTCCACTGTCAGAGCCTTCCAAGTGCTCGCAGGCCAAGGCTTCACACCTTAAGCTCTGGAACCATTCCTTCCTTTAATTTGGATTATATTATTTACAACACTTAGATCACACAGGCTGGTGTACTTCTTCCAGGCGGATTTAATTGAAGCATTGCTTAAATGGCTGCTTGTTTGAAAATAAGCCTTTAAGACGCCCGATGCTATTCTCTCTGAGATCCGGGCACCTAGTTTCTTCACCACACTTTGCTATAGCACCTGTATCTTCAGTGATCTCTTCATGAGGGCAAGCATCAAGCAGGGCCATGTCATAAGAACTAATTGTTCTTAGATTGAGCTTAGAATTAAGTACAAGAAAGAAAATCTATTCATGCATATAAATCTATGAATTATATATGTCTGGTTCACCTTAGAAATAAAATTGTCATTTTATATTACAGAACATTATCAATCATCTCCTCAGGCCATTACTTACACTGCCATTAAGTGGGAGTAGAATTTCTTATTTAAAAGGCATGAGCATCTCCAGGCATTTCCTCACTCAGATAATGCCAACTTATTATCCAAAGTAATTGAACCAATATCTACATCTACAATTAATATACAAAAGATCTTGTTGATCTGTATAGTTTCCAACATTTGATATTTCAGACCCTTAATTTTTATGACAGATATTATTTAACAGCTATTGGACAGATAAATATCTATAGAGCAAAAAGTTTTGAAGTTATGGTCTTGCTGAATAGTAAAACTATTTGTATTATGTTTAAGTGCAACTCATATTTAGAGTAAACCTTTGTGATATATACAGTCAAATGTACACTGTAATTTTTACTCACAATAGGATTATAAGTAAACAGATTTCTACATTTTTGTTATTTATAACAAAGGAATGAAAAAATTACAAAGTTCACTGTCATCAAGTACATTCTGATGCATATTAGCCCTGTAGGACAAACTAGAACTGCTACTGTGGGTTTCTGAGCCTGTAAATCTTTATGGAAGAAGAAAGCCTAGTCTTTTCCAAGGAGCTGCTAGTGGATTCCAATTACTGAACACCACCAGGTCTCTTTCCTTACTGATATACATTCCTCCAAGTTCACAACCATCTCGTGACAAATGCATGTCTGATACTTCCTTGTGCTGGGCCTCTCTGATGGCTTTATGGTTTGTGCCCTCTGGCTAGGAACACACGGATGCTTCGTTCATCTGAACATTGCAGGTGATATAATAATGGATTTAATCAATAAATAAAAACAAGATGAGTGTGTGACTTACAATTAGTTAATAGAATGTTTATAGGCAACAAAAGACAACTAACAAGATTTACATTATAGAGACTTTCAAATAATATATTTTTTCCATTGTCTTTTTAAGTGGTTGGCGATAATTAGAATGATTTAAACAGAAATTTACAAACGGGATGTTTCTAATATCTCAATTTAACCTCAAGGAGATAAACTATTATAGTTTCTAGATTCAACCAAACCAAACCATTGTTCTCATTAGAGAACAATGAGTCATGAACACTAGAAAGCGTGTCCATTTCATTTGACATGGATAGAGGCAGTTTACCATGTTTATGTTTGCTTTCGTTTAGAAAAAGAGAATACTATTTAAATTTTTACTCCTTTTCTTTTTTTGTATCAGGATTTAAAAATTATATCCAAGATTCTTTAATCATTTGCTAGAAGTACTTGCGAAAATACCTCTGCTGATCACATTACTTCGATGTGTCTTCTTTGATCTTATTTGCTAAAATTAGAACAGAATCTATAAGTCTAATAAATAGCTTTATCATTAGAACCATTTCCTCCAGATTAAATTCTAGCTTGCTTATGAAAATACTGATAAACCTAAACATGGGTCCATGAAACATCTTAACTGTGATGGTCCTGACTATGTGACCAGTGTGTGTGTCTAGCTGATTGAAACCCCCCCCCCCCACCTTTTTTCCCCAACAAAATAGCGCTTTAGCTCAATGTAGGGAAGGAAAGAGCCTGCTTTTTCACACAATGCCAAACCTTGAATAGTTCCAATTTCAGCCTAATCACACTGTCCTTAAAATTTCACTCTGCTTGAATAATGAAAAAGGGTGATATAAAAATTGTATGAAACTAGCGTGCTCCAGGACAGGTAGGGTAGGATGTAATTACATATGCTTCAACAGCAGGAGCAGTGTGCTGTAAGAAAGGCTTTTAAGGTGACAGAAGTTAATTGCACAGGTTTTAGGACAGAAGCAAATGTAGGTGAAGAAGCAACGGGAAAGGACACAAACCCCGAGAGGGTGTCAGATTCAGAAATTTGAGAGAATGAGGATTTTTTTTTCCAAACTAGAAATGGACATAAAAAGGTAAATGGCGAGCTACTTTTACATATAGAGAAATAAAAAAGGAGAATCTGGGCGGGGTGTCTGTCTGTATTTCTAGCGAGGCTTCCAAGCATAAAGTTCTTTATGATGTACCTGCATCTAAAAGAGGACAGCCTCCCATAAACCAGGCTGCGATGGTTCCCTGGTGACACCAGTCCACAAGGCAGCTCAGTAAGAAATAGCACATTTTCCTGCAATGTCTGTAATGACCGCGGCATCTATCTTGAACTACAGATTGTGGAGCCATAGAAAGCATGATGCATTCAGTCTTGTCTCCAGCTGAAAAACACAAAGCTTTTGAAAGAGACCCGTTGGGTGGCATTTCTCTAATGAAGACTGAATCACTTTTGGCAAGCGGTGTGAGTTTGTCACAAAGAAAAGAAAAGAGCTGTACCTGATAGTAGGTGTCGCATGGAAAATGCAAGTTTCAAAAGGAAAAAGAGTGTAGGTTGTGTTATCAGTCTCGATCCTATCCATCTTTCCCAGAGGGTTACCTTTTTATAGAGCTATTTGGACATGAGCTCCTGTGCTCACTCCTGGTGGGTGCACAATAAACACAATATCTGACATACGTTTTCTTCAGTTCCTGAATGCTTTCTGGAGGAATATTTGCTAAATCACCTAAAAAGAGTACTCTTGGATTTTGTACAACCATGATCTCTTCTACAACGTGAAGCGAGGTGTAGGCATTGTTTTACCAAGACTGACGTTATAAGGTACAGCCCCGGCTCAAGGATATTGCCATTATTTCTTTAATTGAGTCTAATAATTAATTGTATCACATTAAAATGCTTAATAAAGACTGAGGGTTTTTTTTCAGAGAAGGAAGGTTTATTGCTGAATTTTATGCATAATTCAAATATATCACTTTAATTGTTCATTCTTCCCTATTCTCGAAGCACTTCATTTTGATTAGTTAAATGTGTTTTGAAGACATTTCTTCAGTTTGCTGAAAAAGTCAAAATGTCTCCTAAGCTAGAATGTAAACATAAACACTAAATCATTTAATAAATATCTGTCAGCAATTTATAATCCTATAACCTCATTTCAAATTAAAATCTCTTAATGCTCCATCATTCTCCCCAAGGGAGATCAACTTAGAATTCTCAAGGCAAATACAAATTTCTCCTCTAGAATCAATTTAATCCTGATTTCTCATTAGACGGCTCATTCAGAGTAACATGATGTAATCTGCTTTCTGCATTATGGACAGCTGTGTTGACTTCCTTCCAGACCAGACCTGTTAAAGGTACAGCTATTATCATTTAAATGCTTTACATTGTAAAAATAAATTCCAGAAATTATGTGTTTGTAAAACTTTCTTACACTTTTGCATGAGAAATTTCACTTCATTCTATATTTGGTCAATTTCATCTACATTTTACTAGTCTGCTGTTATGGTAACAAAGCATAGTATTTAGGAAGGAAAGCATAATGCTGACATTTCTTGTCTTCATGTCTTTGATAAGTAAACCTTGTACATACATGAAAATTCAAAAGGGCCATACATTCTTATGCATCATATGCACCAGTATTTGAGCGAATCATGGAGGGAGAATTGCTGGGGGGAATTCCATCTCTCGACCATGTCGCTCTGTAGTCAAGTGTGTACTGAAGTCATACCAGGAAGACACTTTGAAGGAGACTTCCAAAGAAACCCATGCACCGGCCTGTCTCCAGAAGGTCCTCCTTGGTATATTCACAAAACCCTGCAGAAGCTGAAAAACAGTCCCTTGGCTATTTTCTGGCATTTAAGAAGAATATTAGTGGCAATGTCATAATAACAATCTTTCTCAGACCATGCATCTCGAAAAGTGGACAGAGAACCAGTT